AGCCTTGCAAGCATGAAGGCTCTTCTAAACTTCAAAACACTCAGATGGCCAAAATATCTGGCATATTTGCTAGATCTGCTAAATTCTCTAGTAGGATACAAGGTTGACTTATTTAAATGTATTTGAAAATCAATGTCCTTTTATACGCTGTGTAATGACAGATTTTGCTTTATCATATCCTAGTTGCTATAGCTGCTGGTGAAAATCCAAGAGAAAAAAGTTTTGAAGTAAGAGATTCCTTCCAAGAGGAAGAAAAAGAATCAGTCATAATTAATGGCACCAGCCCAACCGGTACAAAAGACATTTTAAGCCATTGATTGAATTTACGTATCCATATACGGGCTTCAACAGACAACAAACCTAATTCCAAATGAAGGGTGGCGTTTGAAACACAATTTGGAATACCTAGAATTGTTCTTAGGAATTTTGTTTGAACTGTCTCAAAAGGAGCTACACACTTAAAAGTACAAACCTCAGTTCCATATAATAATTGAGCTAGAATCTTAGCAGCAAAAACTTGAAGAGCAGCTGGTACAATCTGACCTCCCTTATTATAATAAAAAGAACATAGGACCTTAATGTTTCTTTGTGTATTTATAACCGCATTTTTTTGTTGAAGTTTAGTGGTTCCTTTATCATTAAACATAATACCCAGATATTTATAAGAAGAAACTTGCTCTATACAATTATTATCTAATGTCCACTTGTGTTGAGAGTGACTCTTAGAAAAAAACATTACCTTAGTTTTGTTGTAATTGATCTTTAAAGCATCGTTTATACAATGGGTTGCCAGTGCTTTTAGAAGTCTGTTTAAGCCTACTTTTGTAATAGACATAAGTACTATGTCATCAGTGTAGGCAAGTATGGACAGAGGCTTATTTGACAAGGTTGGGGAGTGAGCTGGTATTTTTGATAAGGTCGAAATCAAAGAATTAATATAGAAATTAAAAAGGGTGGGGGCCAGAACACAACCTTGCCTAACTCCATTAGGGGTGTGGATTGGTCTTGTTGTGTTATCCCTA